CTGTCCCTCAGCTCTTCAGCTCAAGGCTAGCGCTCTACCACTTGAGCCACAGCGCCACTTCCAGCTTTTTTCTTTTTGCTTATGTGGTGCTAAGGAATTGAACCCAGAGCGTCATGCATGCAAGGCAAGCGCTCTACCATGGAGCCACCTTCCCAGCCCCAGATATCAAATTTGAATCTAATCTTCCTAGAAAACAAAAAGCAAGACACAAAATTATATTCATTGTAGATTTTTAAAAATACATATCCCTAAGGAAAGTCAACTTTCTTTTGAGATTGAATTTTCAAAATACTCCCTGTACAAGAATCTCTATATTAGATGCAGTGAACATATATTTCTATGACATCAATACTTTTAATAAATACAATAATGATTTTACATGGCTTGTTGGTAAAAGTTATTGAAGAGCCATTAAAATGAACATAACAAATACAGTGATGGGAATAACGCAAGTATGTGTTCATTTCACCAGTTTTGAATCAGGATTTTTTTGTATTTGATCAGAATTAAGATAATGGAAGGACAACACAATGGTTTGTGTATATGAATTATTGTTTACATTTTGTGTATTAGTCTTCATTTACCAATTTAAAGATATATTTTTGTTATAGGGGCCAAGTTTAGAAAATATATTGGCCATTCGGCTCATGTAACAAATGTCAGATGGTCACATGATTATCAATGGGTTATTTCTATTGGTGGAGCAGATCATTCTGTCTTTCAGTGGAAATTTATTCCAGAAAGAAAACTAAAAGATGCTCTTCATATAGCACCCCAGGGTGAGTAGCATATACTGTCTAAGCAGCATTGTCATCTTACAACTCTGAATTCACTAACCCCAAACTAGCAGTTTTACTGTTGAAATGTAATCTAGTTTCATAAGTTAACAATATAACTTGGTAGCAAAACTTTTCAATTAAATATTAGGTTTATGTATTTAAAGTCAGATGTCATAGTATGTGGCATACAATGTACTTTGGGTTGCATTTTCATCTATCAAATGATGAGTGAAAAAGGTGTTAGCAAAACAAACCTAACACTGTTGGTTTAGGTTTTATATGTTTTTCATCTTTTACGCATAGTATGTTTAGCTATTTTTCATGTTAACTATAGGTTATATTCACTTATATTTGCACAGACATTTAAATTTGGTGTAGCGGTCATTGGGGAGCCAGTGAAGGGATTTAAAGGAGCTATTGAGTTTGCAGTGAGTGGAGAGGAAGATAATCTGTAGTACAGTTTACTGACATCTGTGTCACTTGAATAGGTAACTCCATTTGATTGTTTTATGGCTTGTCTCCATGTTGACTGACAGAGTCAGTTAATTAATTAATTATTAATTTTACATTGCTATTTTGAAAATGTTCTTTAAACAAATGACATTGTATTTTTAAAACATTACAGAAACCTTGGCTGAGTCTAACAGTGATGAATCAGATTCAGATCTTTCTGATGTTCCAGAACTGGATTCTGAAATTGAACAGGAAACACAGCTCACCTATCACCGACAGGTAGTTTTCTATTATCACATGATTTTTTTTTCTTAAAAGTCTCATTTCTTCTTTATCTCTTACTGTCTGCTACTTATCTATTGTTAATTTTTGTAGCTTTAGTTTTCCAAGTATTGTATAACTTTCAGTTTCCAAAGCACACTTGTATAAAGTGTTTTTTATGTTAAGTGCTTAATATACCAAGTATGTCTGCATTCTATTTGCCTATATATTCTTACACAGTATACTCCCACTACTCTTTTTTTGAAGCATAAGGATTTATTGAAACACCAAATATGTATTTGTCAGTGTAATATAAAGAAAATAAGAATTTTTTCCTATATTACTGAAAACAATTGGTATTAGCAGCTCATTAATAGTAACCACAAGAACTGAAAGTTAAGAGAATATGAACACCTTTATTTAAATATATGCTAAAAATATTCCCACTTATATACATTTTTAAAGGTTTACAAAGAAGATCTACCTCAGCTTAAAGAACAATACAAAGAGAAACAAAATAGTGTTACTTCTAAAAGAAGAGATCAAGCTCCAGGAAATAGTATTCGCTTACACTTCATTCATGGGTATGAAAAACATTTTTATTTATGTCTTTGAATTTGGGTTCAAGTTACCTAACCTCTATATGCCTCTGTTTCCCCATCTTTAAGTTAGAAATAATACTCATGGAGATTTAATATATTGTCTGGCATACAGTCAGTTACTGCTTATTAAATTAAAAATTACTGCACACAACTTTATCTTTGTAGAAATGGACACTTCATGTTTAAAAAATTCCAAAATATAGTCATCTGTAGATATTAGTATGGAATGATGTTGTGACATTTCCACCTGAGTGGTTTTCATGTTTTAGTTTCAGTAAAATACTTATTTCTGGGTTCTGACCATCTGGCAATGCAGGTCGCTTGTTTCAGCTTGGCAGAAACTGGCATTCCACTTATTACTTTACCTCTCAGCCAGCATTTATTTTCTTAAGTAGACTAATAATACATTCCAAGAATTTGACAAAAGGATTCCTTAAAAGTATTTTCCTGCCAGGTGCTAGTGGCTCATTCCTGTAATCCTAGCTACTCAGGAGGCTGAAATCTGAGTATTGCAGTTCAAAGCCAGCCTGGGCCAGAAAATCAGAGACTTTTTTCTCCAATTAACTACCAGAAAGCCAGAAGTATAGTTGTGGCTTCAGTGGTAGAGTGCCAGCCTTGAGCAGAAAAGCTCAGGAATAGCACCCAGGACTGGCAACAACAACAACAAAAAAGTATTTTTCTTCTAATGTTAAAGAGGCAATGTTTCTATTCAGTTGTGATTTATGAAATTGGTTTCTTTGAAACACAAAGCAAAGTTGCCATAATGGAATTATTGACCATTTTAAGAAGATTTGGCTTATTTTTCCTGGCTAAATATTTAAATTACTGTTTAAACCTATTTTTGGAATGTATACTATATTTTCTTGTTCACAATGTGCATAACAAAATAAAGTTTGGAAATCTCCTCTGCCTTATTGTAATCATTTCCCCAGTCCACAAGTTATCACTGTTGCTTAGTTTCAGAAATAAAAGTAAGTATGTAAACAAATGCAAATGAATTTTATTGGCTCTTTTACTTATTAAAAACAACTGTTTGAAGCTGGGTGCCCAAGGTGCCTCAGTACCTGGACTCAGCTCTGAGGATCACAGTTGAAGCCAGCCTGGGCAGGAAAGTCTTATCTCTGATTAGCCACCAAAAAGCCAAAGGAGAGCTGTGGCTCAAGTGATAGAGCACTACCCTTGAGCAAAAATGCTCAAGGACAATGCCCAGATTCTAAGTTAAAGCCCTCGGACTGGCACAAAAAATTAATATTACATTTATGCAAATAGCAATATATTCAGTTTACTTTTCTGCACTTTTTTCCTCAATACTATAGGTTGGATTTATTTGTAATCCAAGCAATTCATAAAAATTTATAGGATCTGAGAAAATTGTATTACCTTTCAATTATTGATTATCCTTGTAAACTAGAGATTGAATGAAGAAAAGGTACCTGCTTCTCTGTATATTCTGTATTGGCCAGCTAAAAGGCCAAAATTAATTGCATATGATTTGTCTTTTTGTTAGTTACAGAGGTTATGACTGCCGGAGTAATCTGTTTTACACTCAAATTGGTGAGATCGTATACCACGTGGCAGCAGTGGGTGTTATTTATAATCGACAACAGAACACACAGCGTTTTTACTTGGGTCATGATGATGATATTCTCTGTTTGGCTATACATCCTCTGAAAGACTATGTGGCAACAGGCCAAGTAAGTTCCTCAGGGAGGAGGGGTTGATTTAGGAAATGGAGAGTAAGGAATTCTTGCCAAGTGCTGGTGGCTCACACTTGTAATCTTGACTACTCAGGAGGCTGAGATCTGAGGATCACAGTTTGAAACCAGCCCAAAGCTAGTGCTCTACCACTTGAGCCACAGCACTACTTCTGGCCTTTTATTTTTTTTTCTTATAAATTTAATTTTATTGTCAAAGTGATGTACAGAGGGGTTCTAGTTACATATATATAAGGTAGTGAATACATTTCTTTTTTTTAATTTTATTTGTGAACATACTGTACAGAGGGGTTACAATTACATGGGCAGGATAATGCATACATTTCTTACCAAGCATTGTAGCCTCCTCCTTTGTTTTACTTCTAGCCTTTTAAAAAATTTTTATTGTGAAAATACCATACAGAGGGGTACAATTACGTGGGCAAGGTAATGAGTACATTTCTTATCAAGCATTGTTGCCTCCTCCTTTGTTTTCCCTTCTGCTTATGTGGTGCTGAGGAATTGAACCCAGGGCCCCATGCATGCAAGGCAAGCACTCTACCACTGAGCCACCTTCCCAGACCAGCTTATTAGCTTTAGTGGGAGGCTAATCTATGCAGTACAGAATATTTAGCAGCTTCTCTCACCTCTTCTTGCTAAATACCAGTAACACTCATCAATTAAGATGTCTAAAGACAATACCAGATGTTCCCTATGAGGCAAAGTCACCCATGTTATTAAGACAGAAATATGTATCTGGTGTCAATATAATGAAGGACTTAATTAGAACCAAGGAAAAATCTCAATAAGGTGGTGACATTTATGCTGGGTAGAGGGAAGATATTGGGAAAAATATTTAAAATGTGTCATGTCGTGTATAAAATTGGGGCAAAAATAAGCCTCAGTTTAAATTAGCTATTTAAAGAACTGTGAGTGGCCCACAGTATTTTAATCAGCAAGGACATAATAGGCTCTAGCAGTAGAACTAATCAAAGAATGGATGGAACCTCTAGAATACAGTTTATCTTGAGGTTGTATAGGGTTTCTCTTGAAACACAGTTATGCATCCATGTGCTATGGCAATTGGAATGAAGACTGTATTAACAGTGGCTGTCCCATGATTCTGGGTTTTTTTTAAGGGAATTCAAGTCAGATTAAATAAAAAGTTCATGTGCTGCTGGATATACCTGAATACCCATCAGGCCCTAGTTTCTTTGTTCATGACTTGCTTACACAACAGCATTTTTACTTTAGGCACTGTGGATTCAGTCGTTCTCCAAAAGCATAGGCTCACACAGTCTGACTTATAGTGGTTTCTATTTCTTTCCTGTTAAATTACAACCACTAGTTTTTAAAAATATATTCATTTTAAATGAAGAAAGTACTGATTAAAAAGAAATTAATAGCTGGGTGCCTGTGGCTCATTCCTGAATCCTGTCTACTTAGGAGGCTGAAATCTGAGGATTCTGGTTTGAATCCAACCTGCAAAAAGAGTGAAAGTGTGACTCCAGTGGGTAGAGTACAACCTTGAGTGGAAGAAGTTTAGCCAGAGCACAAAGCCCTGAGTTTAAGCCCTAGTACTGGCACCAAAATAAAAATGGAATGAAGGTAGAAAGAAAATTAGTTCTGAAACATTTTAACTGGTATTTTGAAATTTAGATAACCACTCCGAAAAGTATTTTGCTTTTTCTTTGTTTTATGGAGAATAAAATATGAAGAATAATTCCTTGTCAGGAACTGATCACAAAGTGAAAGAACCTTACTTGGCGCGCGCGTGCGCGCGCACACACACACACACACACAAACACACACACACACGTCCAGATGCAATGGAGACAAGAGACTATGTGGACTGAAATTTCTAGAACTTTAAGCCAGAATATAATTTTACTTCTTTTAACTTGATTATCTCAGGTTTTTTTTTTTCACAGTACTGGAATACTAACACTTTTCCCTTCGTCCCTAAAATGAGATGACCTAAATGTGCCTGATGTAATAATACTCCTTTGTCTATATCTCAGCCAGATTTAATTTGGTGTTCAAATCTCAGCTCCTTAATTGTTATCTTTGGGCAAATTACCTATCTTCTTCATTTGTTTCCTCATCTTTTAAAAGAAAGATACTGTTAGTGCCTGTCTTCAAGTTGTGATGATTGTTAAATTAGGCACCCTTTGAAGGTATATAAGATAAGACAGTTTTTGGCATATAGGTTAGTTTTCAGTGAATGTTAGTATAGATCATCTTCTTTCTATGGGAGAGAGATCTATTTGCCATTTGAAAATGTTAAGGCTTGAATTCTAGAGACAATGATAGTAGGATTTGGGAGATAGTTTTTAAAGCATTAATTGTGAAAGTGACAAAATACCCAAGCTATAAAGGAGGAAAGACTTATTTGGGCTTACAGTTTCAGAGGCTTAAACTGTTTTAGGCATATGTCCCTCTAATTTTAGGCCTGTGAGGAGGCAACACATCCTGGTGGGGAGCACGTGTGGAGCAACTGAGAAGCAAACATGAGAAAAGGGGATGGAGTCCCAGTACCACTTTAATGATACATACCGAAAGACCTAACTTCCTTCTATGAGGCCTACATCCTTGAGGTTCCACAGTCCTTGAATAGAGCCACAGGCTAGTGGCCAAGCCTTAAACTTAGGAGCCTTTGGGGACTGCTCCAGATCTAAACTGTAGCACCAAGTTAAAAGATAAATAAGATGGGGAGGATGAGAAGGGTCAGTTAGAAAGTTCCTTGTACAATTGTGAGTGACAAGAACCAAGATAACAAAGGAGAGACAATATTCCAAGGAGATAAAAAGAGGAGCATCAGTAATCAAAAAAGAGGCGACAGACAGCTAAAATGAAGAAAGAAACAAAAAGGTGATGCAGAGAAAATTAGGAACCAGTCTGCAACTTCAACCCTTGCTCTCCAGATAATGGAGCAAAGCTGAAGTCATAACCACAAGGTACACAGGCAGCCTTGGTGAGAATGGACTGGCATTTCCTAGTTTCAGGAGGAACACAATACTAACAACCTTTGAATTCATTGCAGGGATGTGATCTGACAGTGACTCCTGCTGTGTGACAGGCTAGCTTTCAAGAAGAAATCTATTGTATCACTCCCTATATCTCAGAGGTCTATAACCAGGTGCTGTTTTGAGAGGGGGCTGATTGTTTGAGACTAAGCTACTCTGGGAACTTGAAAACAAGGAACAACCACAGGTTAGGTGCTCTGATCTGTGCCCTTTTCATTTCCTGCACAATCCAATGAACTAGAAAAAACCTCAGCTTTGACATTTGCTGCTTTTGGTTGCACAAATTGAGGAAGGCAGGTGGGGCAGTATGTGTGGTGGGTATCTCTGAGCAAGTCAGACTTGCTTGGCCCCCACAGGCTGCAGACCTCATTGGGGATAGTAGCAATTTCTGGTACTCAAAGAAGGGAAATTCTAAAGTGACTGCAGCCCTGATGCTGAGAACATACCTCTGTCTGGCCCAACCTTCAGCCTGAATACAGCTCCACCTCATACAGTGGTATAGATAGGAGCTACAATAGACTCCAGATGGGACGCTTTATCTTCTTGCCACACCAGACCTGGTGGATTCCAGTATTAGAGTATCTAGGAATACTCCAATTTTTTATCGCCTCCCATCTTCTACACTCTTTATCCTTCCTTTTCTTCCTCTTTGCTTCTTTTTCTTCCTTTTTGCTATATTTTAATATTGTTTTTATTTTAATTTTTGAAATGTTTTTTTTTAATTTTGTTAGCATTCACTAGTTTTTTTGGCAGTACTAGAGCTTGAGTTCAGATATTGTATCCCTGTGCTATATCTCTAGCCCACCTTTAACTTTATGTATTGTTTCTTTATTTTGCAGTCTGATTTTTTAAAAGATTCTTGTACTTTTCCCCTTTGTCACATTCTTCTTTTTCTTATATTTAATTGTTCTGCTTTTTTCCCCTTTTCCTATCTGTGGATTGTTTCCTTATATTATTATTTCTACTTTTGTTAAACTTTTATTTCATAATTTATTCTACATTAATTTTGTCACTTCCTGATCTGTGGTTATTACTGGGGCAGTAGTTGTCTTTAATTAATGTCTATTGTGTTTGTGGCTCTGGTTTGTTTGGTATCTTGATTTTGCAGTAGTTTATTTTCTCCCTTGTGGTGCTGGAAAAGCCTTCAAAGAAAGCACTACTCTCACTAAGAGATTTCCCTTATAAAATTAGAAGAGATAATTATGCAAACAAATATGTACATTGCAACATAGAAGCACAACAAATATGAAACACAACTCCTCCAAAAGTTTGTAACTTCAGCACCTGAATCCAAAGATATTGACACAATTGAAACACAAAAGTCTTCAAAAAGTCTAATTTGAAAAATGATTAATGACTTCAAGGAGTACTCAGATAATTGCAGTGAAAAAGTCAGTTCAAGACTGGATGCAAGGGCTGGGAAGGTGGCTCAGTGGTAGAGCGCTTGCCTTGCATGCCTGAGGCCCTGGGTTCGATTCCTCAGCACCACATAAGCAAAAAGAAAAAAGCCG